TGAATGATTTGTAAAATTCACCAGTGAAGCTATCAGGTCCTGGACTTTACTGGGAATTTTTCATTACTGATTCAATTTCATTAGTAGCTATTGATCTGTTTATATATTCTGTTTCTTCTTGATTCAGTCTTAGAAGATTGTACATTTCTGGGAATTTATCTATTTGTTTCAGGTTGTCCAATTTGTTGGCATATAATTGTTCATAGTATTTACTTACAATTCTTTATATTTCTGTGGTGTCACTTGTCACTCCTCTTTCATTTCTGATTGTATTTATTTGGGTCCTCTCTTTTTTTTTTTTCTTTATGAATCTTGCTAAAGGTTTATCAATTTTGTTTATCTTATCTATTTTGATTTAGACTCTATTTCATTTACTTCTACTCTGTTCTTTATCATTTCCTACTTTCTACTCAGTTTGAGGTTTGTTTTCTCTTATTTTTCTAGTTCTTACAGGTGTTAGATGGCTTATTAGAGTTTTTTTGTATCTTGAGGTAGGCCTGTATTACTGCAAATTTCCCTCCTAGATATGCTGTGGCTGTGTCGGATAGATTTTGGATCATTGCATTTTCATATGACTTAAGGAATCTTTTGATTTCTTTATCTCGTTAACCCATCTATTGTTTAGTAGCATGTTATTTAGTATCCACAATTTTTTTCTTTTAATCAATTTCTAGTTTCATACCAATCAGGGAATATGCTTGATATATTTACAATCTTGTTAAATTTACTGAGACTCTTTTGTTGCCTAATACGTGATCTATCCTGAAAAATGTTCCTGGTGCTTTTGGAACTACGACCCCTGCAATGGAAACTGAGCAAGTGAGTCTGTGAGTCTCTGTGCAGATCCCTCAAGAGGAATGAATGCCTCGGACTCCAGCAGCACACAGTCTTACTCAGATGCAATCTGTGCTGGTTTTCATAGGTAGACGTTCTGTGGACTCCTCTTTCTGGCACTGGTGCCCTCGGGTGGGGAGTCAGGTGTGGGGTTGGACCCCTTGCTCCTCAAGGGAACCTTCACAGTTATAACATCCCTCCTATTCCTAATGGGCACACTGTGGTGTGGCACCTGTCCGCTCTGCATCTCTGCCCCTCCTGCCAGTCTTTTGTGGCTTCTTCTTTTCATCCTTAAAGAATTCTGTTCAGCTAGTCTTCAGGTGGTTCTCAATGATCACTGTTCTATAATATAGTTGTAATTTTGATGGAATCATGGGAGGAGGCCAGCATCTCATTTACTTTCTCTGCCATTTTGACTGGCAGTCTATCTTTTTATTAACAAAGCATAAAAGTAGAAAGTCTACAGTGGGTGGATAACAAAGGGGAGACATTTTATGATTATTTGTTATATATGGCTTATCTTCATTCTCTTAATGCTTAATTCTACTAATGGCACTTGAGTTTAAGTCTTATCAAAAGGCACAAAATAAAACTTTTAGCCTTATAGAATTAAAAAAAATGCTTTCACTAAGACATATAAGTCTGTAGCTATCTCTGCTTTATTTTCTATTTTAATTAAGTACAATAGAAACTTTAGTCATGAGCCATTCTACTCTGTCTCTTTAAAGCTTGTTAGTCACTGGTCTCCTTATTGCATCCCATAATGGCACAGTGTTTATTGGGGCATGGGGGAGAGATTGTTGCTAAGCTGCTAATGATACCATATGTTCCCAAACCTACATTCTTATTACTCTTGTGGGTTTGCAATACTGTATCCACATTTGCTATGCAGTGTACACAAAGGCAACTCTAAATTAATCAGCTGTTTGTTATGCAGAAAGCAGCTATTATAATAAAGGAGCACCTACTATGTACTGTACATGGAATGAAAATGGGTTCTTAATATTAAAACTATCTGGGGGAATTGGCAAGCAGTAGGAAATTTCATGACAACTTAAGAATGTGTGTTAATGTGCTAGCATGTTATCTTGCTGATGCTATTTTCATTTCTTTGCTGTAGAAAGTTTATGCTATAATTAAGCAACTGTGCAGTGCAGCGGGCTCTGAAATACAAACTTATCCAACATAAAGTTTAAGAATGAGTCAAGTATGATTCCAGACTTTTTTGCCTAAAGAAAGCAAATGGTGGGTTTTGTTTAGGTAAAGGGACACTCATCCTTTATAATCCTATATACAAAGTAGGCATTTCATAAACCACTAGCAAAATGTAAAAGTTATTTCAGATGCACTGAGCTAACTCCAGAATGAAAATTCTTATTTGGTGCCCTAGGAAAGGCAAGGAAGGGATTCAGGTAATTACTGTAATTTTAACAATGAGGCTTTAGTATGGTCTAAGAGAAAATGCTACCAAGGCAACCTTTCCTTTGTGATGTGATTACAGGCTCACCTTTTCAGGTGCTTCCTTTCGGTCATTTAAGCAGATCATTCAATAGACAATGTTGTTAGATTATTAAATGTAGCTTGGGTTGTTTATTTGAACCTGCTATTTATTATCTTTGTCCTTGATATGGTTTCCAAACTGCCAATTCAAACTTTTCCTCTCAATGTATCCATTAGAAATGAAAACAAACCACAATTTAACTTGTTGGTCAGTTCAACATTGATAGCTCAAAAATTGAAATATCTTACATCTTGACCAGAGGGATGGATTAACTATCAGGTAGCTCAGCCTTGAAGATTTCCTCTCTTTTTCAGGCCCCCGTGGCATTTCTCTGGCTTCAGTCTTACTACACCTCAAGGCACTAATCCCCTCTAAAGCAGATCCATTTAATCTTCTCAAGCCAGAGCCCTTAGTTTTATATCTGCTTGAGTAAAGGAAGAGAGAGCAGGCTTTTCTTATTTCTCAGGATCAAACTAAATACCCTGCCACTTTCACCATTCTGTTCCTGTCAATGAGCCATGCATGTGTCATTTACCTCTGGCTGTGATCCTCAGAGCAGAGAAGCAGTTAACTTCAGCAAGTAGGAAGGACAGTGGCCAGAAAACTACCTACTTCTGGTGTTTAAGTTTAGAAAACATGGTTTCACACAAGTTCTTAGTTCTCAACAATCATGTCACATAATTATCTTTCTGGAAAAGATGTTCTATCATAAATGCATTGGAGGATTAGCTTATGCTTTCAATTTGGATCCTTGCACTAACTGCTATTGGCAAAAATGACCCAATCTTACTATCACCAGTCTTAAGGCATGTCATTTCTTGATTAGAGCTTCTCACTAAGGTTTTGTGCTCCAGTCACAACTCACCAACCAACAATCACACCCAAATATTAAAGGGATCATTCAGAACTCACAGCTCCATCTCTCTGAGAAGTGCTGCTCTCAGGGACCACAAAGACAATCCAAATGCTTTGTTGAGAGCTAAATAAAATCAAAGAATTATAGGTTCTCCAAGCAAGTTGGGAATTGAGGAACTGCTTTAGGGTCTTGTTTGGCATAGATAAAAAAACAGGATGAAGGAAATTCCTAAGTTGGAACATGACCTAGATCCTTCACAAAACGATTGCTCCATAATGCTGTTGCCAAATGCTATTTTAATCAAACTCAGCCTTCGCTGGATCTCCATCCTGAGAGCACAGCTAGTTTCACCAAGAGTGTCTGAACAGAGTGCCAGCAAGAAGTACAGAGCGGTAGTGGCATGTTTTAACTAGAATGCTGTTCATTGCTTCCTGCAGAGATAGGACATGTTATCCATTTTTGTTGACATTGGTAACCACTCTGTCTAAAAGGGCAGACTATGGCCTGCTGTCGGACTCCTGTAAACACACCCCTTTCCCACTGATAAATATATTCATCCATTTCTATGATTTCTCAGTCATTGTAGCCATCAAGATTCTTGATCACATTTATATAAATATGCACACTATGGAGACATAAAATGCTAGAAAAAAACATGCTTAAGTAGAAAAGGGAATACAGGTATGGGTAGATCGAATAGAAAGGAAAGGCTCACATAACATTCCAAACCTCATTGTCCTTATTTCCACTATGGGAAATGGGAATGGAACACACACATGTGACTTTAAACTACACACATGTGACTAAACCCATACATGGCCAAAGTCCACAGGAATGGCTTAAAGCAACTGCCTTAACTGCGGCCATGACTGGCTCCAAGGAAGGAACTAAACTTTGGAACGTCACAAATACATATGCATCTGTGGTGGTTAATTTTATGTGTCAAATTGACTGGCCATCAGGTGCCCAGATAATCGGCTGAACATTATTCTGCAAGGGTGTTTCCAGATGAGACCAGCATTTAGATTGGTAGATTAAGAAAAGCAGATTGCCCTCCACAGTTGCCTGCAGGGGCATCATCTAATGGGTCCACGGCCTGATCCTTCTCAAGTCAGAGAGAATGCTCCTGCCTGCCAGTCTCTGAACTGGGACAGCACCGAATTAAAACCTGTCTCTGTGTGACTATTTGATTCTCCCATACTTTCTTGCTCAGGCAGAGTCACTTGGAGATGGAAGAGTGTAATCTCAGGAATAAAGGCTTGGGAGTTTTGCAATGCACATTCTATTTCCTGCTCTGCCAGACCAATTTGATACGAAGCCACCCACCTCCTCAGGTCATAAATCCCCTCCCCTCCATTTGTAAGATAACAGTCACAACACATCCCTTGCCACAAATCCATGGTCTCTGAAGATGATGAAATGCTTTATAGTGCTATAAAATTATTGGGAGAAATATAGACATGGTGAGCAGTATAAGAATTTCACTAAACTTAAAAACGAAGGCTACCAGAAGACAAGACTTACTAAGCTACAAAGTCGAAAACGTCTTTTTACATCATTTCTCTTAAAACCGTATCTGTTTAAATCAATAATAAGTGCACACATTTATAAAACTTACAGTGATAAAATATTTAAAATAACCCCACCTCTACTAAAAATGTATTTGCCTACTTTTCTACACTTTTTAGCCATTTTCTTTTTGCTCTTGGAGATTTTGCTTTCTACTAACATATTTAACCAAAGTAATAATTATGATGTTTCTTTTCATATTATGGACAAACACTGAAGATGTTAAACAGAAGGTGTTACCTAGAATGCAGAGACCATCTGTGCAGTTTTCGGATTCCTGGCTTAGCCCTTCACAGAATTTGCCCCCGTTTCTTGGGGGGGGTGCTGTGCACTCCCTGATCCGCAGATGCTCACACTCCGGGCTGCAGACTGACCATTCACTCCACACTTCCCAGCTCCCATCCACTTCAAAGAGAAACAAAAGGAACCATCATTAGGATGAAACAGGCGGCTGTTAGGAGACTCACCCCAGGACTGCTGTTGTTCTTAGAGCTGGATTTTAAAGCAATAACCACCACAACAAACACAAAATAACATATTTATCTTCTCTCCATGGTTTCTTTCCTAAAGAGACAGGCTAGCAAAAGCAGTGGTATAATTCTCTAGCTATTTCAGGATGAGACCAATTACTGAATTTAGGCAAGCATTCGAATTACCAGTGCCCTTGGGTTGGCTAATAATGTCATTACCCATTCTTCCCCAGTCTTTCACGCTCAAGTGCAGCTTAGATGGACAGATAAACAATGTGCAGTAACCAGTGGTAATCACTACTTCCTTGGATGTTGACAATTTGGAACAGAGAGCAGCAAGAACTATCTTTAAGCTCTAAAAGCCCTAAACAATAAAACGTTAAACCCATAGATATTGATAGTATTAAACTAAAACAGGTCAGTCAAGCCCCAAGATACCAAGATTTATATAAATAGAATTTCTCGGGTCATGAATTGCTGCTTTATGTAGAAATGAACAAACTGAATTCTACTAAAAATCAACCCTAGAGATCGTGGCAGCTGTTTGAGGCAATTGTCCCATTACCTCCTAGGAATAGTCCAACCATGCTTATGTGGGTTAAGATACTGCAATTTTTAATCTAGAGCAATTAGGAGTACGGTAACAAAAAAATAATGAACTTGAAGTGAAATGTCTGAGTCCTTGCCTGTCAATTTATTGGCTGAGCAACCCTGAGAAAGTCACTTAGCCTATTTCTGTCAACTGCAGATAATAAAACTCACAACACAGAGTTAAATGACATTACACGTGTAAAGGTATCTTGCACATAGTAAGCACTCAATAAATGCTTATTGAATATAAGTGTGAAATGAAACTCCAAGAGAATGTAAGTTCAAAATGAAGCTCTAAGAATACACTGCTGGCAAGAGCCTCACCTTAGCTTTGAGTGGAACTGGATTTGAAATTTCAGCCACAAGGCTCTAGTTCAGTGTCCTTGGAGTTGATGTTTTATAATGCATGCGAGACCCAGGATCAATTTATTTCTCAGTGGGAGGATATGCTTTCCATAAAGAAAGTCATCTTCCATCTCATCTATTTCTCATTCTATAAATTGGGTTAGAGCCAGTAAGAGATGAACAAAATAACTTACAAAAGCCATATTTGGCAAATGAGGTCTGTCTCTACTCAGAAAGGAAGGCAAGCATAGACCAAATGGAGAACAAACTGCTGTGATTCTGTACAATCTCTGCCAATTGTACTGTAAACGAATCAAAGCTAAAACCAGTAGGGTCAGTTGACTGGTAACTGGTAATAAAGAGTCAAAATTTTGGTACCTGCTTTTTGCGCTCACAGAAAACTCGACTCCTGCTCGCCCTTAGAAAATTGAATGCCACAGATTGGGAGAACCCAGGGAGAGAAGGGCACAGCTTAGCCCAACCAAACACTGGCGGTATAAAAATACTTCAAAGCATTTGGCTTATTGATGGTGTGTCCAGGGTCATTTGAGTATTAAAAAATGCATAGGCCCCCAAACAGAGGTATTTCACCCACACGCTTGCTTTTGCATTGAGTTCTACATTAGCCTTTTGGACAAAGGCTCCATTCTAGAGGCACTTGGGAGAGGGTAACTTGGGGAAAGAAGTTTTGTACTGAATGCTTCACACCAGCTTCCTAGTGTTGGTGGATCAGAAGAGGAAAGGGAATCTGTGCATATCTCACCAGGACAAAGAGAAGTGCAGGTAATTTTCTGCACTGACATTCCCTCACAAAAGGCCCCACCATTGAGAGGAGCTGGGTTGGTACAGGTCCGGGAACGTTTCTGCCATCCTCTACCACAGCGAACATTGCAGGCTGACCACTCTGTCCAGGAAGACCAGCCTCCATTCACTGAGAGAGAAAATGGGGGGGGAGAAAAAAGGAGACAGGTTTTTACTGATTGCCTACTATGTGCAAGCCGTCGGGCCAGGTGTTGTGAGCTGGGCATCCGGGGACCAAGAGACCCTGCGGCCCCACACCGGCTGCTCCATCGAGAGGGAAGCCACGTGGACTCCTCCTCTCTGCCCCTCAGTCTATTCATCTGACATACGGAGGGCCACAGATAATTTTCTTTGCTGGGAAATTATGAAAAAATAGAATTCTTCAACATATCTCTAAAGCACTCGAAAATCCAGAGTATAAGATGAAAATATCAGCATTTGAATTTCGATTACTTTAAGTGCTTCAAAAATAAATCCCAGGGCTCTTCTATTGTAGAAGGGGATGCCTTTACTAAATAGCTGGGAATCTCTTTCCTACAAGGCCTGAGATATTCAGCAAACAGTGATGTTTGTTTTCGGTGAATTTTATATGCCAGGAGAGAAACTTCCCACTGTGCTCTGGGGAGTCTCGGGGAGGGGAGCAGAAGTTGCCCACCTCATTTCTTTTCAAATATACACACAACGGAAGAAAATCAACAACTTCTAAAATTAGTTTCTTATCGAGAGAGATTGGAAATGTCACCGACTACCTCTCAGAAGTCCAATATTGGACGGAAGAGCAAACATTAATACCAACAGAAATGTGCTCTCCCCTGCCAAATGGGAGAGGCAGGAGAGTGCAGCAGTGTAGTGGGTGACCCCCAAAGACTTTGCAGCACTGACAGTTACAATTTTAATAAAATACACATCCCTCTAGTTCTCTGATCTCTGTGCTCCGTATCCACTCCTGGCCTTTGGGCTGGTCTTACCATAAACTATCACTGTGGCTGACAGGCTCCTCCTCTTGGCCACGATGTTGGCTGCCATGCAGGTATAATTCCCGGAGTCTGAGAGCCGCGCCTGCCTGATGATCAGGTTATGGTCAGCCCTGGTGTCGATGTTCTCATCTTGTTCAGAGTCAATGGGCTCCTCATTTTTTAGCCATTCCACCTATAAGAAGAAAGGAATGTTAAATTTACAAGTCATTTAAGAAAAACAACAACTTTTCTTGGAATTGGAAGGTGAACAATTTTGGTGTGTGGGGGAGAGAGCAATAGCAATGATTTTTTCCCCCCACTTTATTCCATACCCTATCCCTTTTAATTAAGAAATTTGGTACGTTCAGGAAATGACTACTCAAGTTAATAAACTGGAGGCAGGAAAGGACATAAATATCCTATTGACTTTGACCCATTTTCTAAAAGTGCAGCGGAAGAGAGAAAAGAGGTGACCACCGTTAGGTGATTTCACTATATTTCATTTTATTACAATTCTGGTGTTGAGGATGATTGCAATTACTAGTGCAAAATGGAGCTCAGACGACCAACACTTATGCATAACTTGCACTTTATGCCAAGAGGATGCTAGGTTGTCAGGGTTCAAGTCAGGATGTTTGAATTTAAACAAACTTTTATAAAGGTGTGATAATGTATAAAGGCCACGGTACTATATATTGGGGCAATCATAGGCACCTAAATTCAAATCTCAGTGTTCCCTAGTTTGGGGTGTACGTTTCTTTGGTGATCACTGATGTCCCTCGGTCAATGATTCAGTGGCTATTTAGACCGGGTTGAATACCCAGCACATTTAAGGCCCATCCCCTTTTCTGGAGAAGTTCACTTCCCGCATCTTCCGAGCGTAGGCTAGTCCCATCTCAGATTTGTTTTTTCTAGCTTGCTCCTGGAGAAACCATTTCTTTCTTCTAGTTCCACTCTAATCCTATCCTTGATCTAAATGCCTCTTTTCCTTGGGCACCTGGAGGAGACACAGATGGAACCTTCTGCTCCCTAGACTCTCATCCTCTGCCCAGTTGGGGTGCACCGCCCTCCCCTCCCCTATTTCACCAAGCAGGCCAGTCTTCCCCTGAACTAACTGCCTTCCTCCCTCATGTGTCCCCTGCTTAAGCATCTAAATGACGTCTCCACTCTTCGCACCATGTTGGTCGCACTAGACGCATCTCTTGTTTGACAATAACCGTTTAGCTCTAGCTGCACACAGTCATTACTCAGCGCAGGGACCAAGGGCAGAGGCTCCACCGCAGAGGATCACACACAAGCAAACGCGCCAGGGCCCTTCTCACCAGGCCGCCCCCATCAGCACGGATCACTGAGGCTTGCTTTTAGAATAAGATTCCTCATTTCGTGTTTAAATCTCGAGAATTCTAATTTATCACCAATAAACGGGTGGCATCTGTTATATTACAATTTGGTGTAATCAAGATTTGCTGGTCTCTATAAAAGGGATTTACTTATCAGAAGAAAACCTATAATGATCTTTTATAATGATAGCTGCCTCAATTACCAAGATGTAGACGAGAATTTAGAATACCAAAAATCATCACCATTTCAAATCTACCCTAGAAAAGAAAATGATAGCGAACAGCCTGAAGAAGAGCTTTGAGAACTGCTTTACAGCATCGAGATGAGCTGAAAAGGCAGCGTGATGTGGGGCCATGAAGTAGAGAAGCAAGCTGACCACCAACCCCAGGGGCCAGCCTGGAGGCGTGGCGGCTGCTAATGGCCCGGAGCCCAGAAGCACGCTCCGGTGAGTAGAGCAGGATGGTGCAACCAAGTTTACATAACATCTGGCCACCAGCGCGTGACAAAACGGCCTCCATTCCCCACTAACACTGCACATTTCAGTCATTCATCTACTCATCTGACAAATATTCACATATTTATTGAACATCAGAGCTTGTCCTGAGAGTTGGGTAAAGCAGGTTAAACAAAACCAGCATAGTTTCCTCTTTCATGAATTCTGGATTTTACGGGTACAATGAAAAAAGCTGGGGGAGTAACACTGTCACTAATATCTGGGATGAAACACGCACTTAAAGCCAATAGGATTGGATTGTTGAAAGAACAAATAGGTCTGCTAAAAGTAGGTCTAGAGAGCTTTGTTCCACCCCACTCCCCCCCTGACCCCAAAATTCAGAGTGTACTTTGCCTGGTTTTCTGATTAATTCCTTACTCCTGAGATTTGCAAGCACTTAGAAAGCTGTTCCCTTGTGTCCCTACCTCTGTCATCTTTTTCCATAGTTCCCCTCAAACAGCTGGTCAGGAAGTCAGGAAAGTCTGGCCTTGGTCCATAAGTAAATTATTCCTAGTGAGTTAACTAGCCAGAAAAAAGCCCTGGGGGCAGTGTCCCGGGAGACAGAAACCAAAGGAAGTCCCAGCACCTGGGAGTCGAAGAAAGCCTTCCTGATCAAATCTCCTACACGGCTGTCTACCACTACGCGTACGGCTGAAACGGAGAAAAAACGGTACTGAATGTAAACTGTGATTAAAAACTAAAATTAAAATAAAATCTTGGCCCAGGGGATATTAAAGCCACAATCATCAAGTAGAGGTTTGGCTTCAAATTGAAAACTTACATAAAAATAAAATATATACACAATTACTGCCAACAAACGAAGGAAGTATTTGCCACAAATTTGAGAGATAAAAGGTTAATGTTGTGATGATCTGAGGAAAATGTGAATAGTTAAAAAACCACTATATACATACATATATGTGTGTGTATATATATGTATGTATGTGTATATATATATTCCATCCTAGGTAATACGGCAGAGTGATAAGTATACAGTTCATTAAAAGGAAAAAATGGCAATTAAATAAATGAATAAATATTCTACACCACTAATAAAAAAGTTAAACAACAGTATAATCACTATTTTTACTATCAGAACAGCGAAGATTAAAATTATACAAACAGATACACATAGTTCTTGTTTTTGTGGCTGGTTCCCTTTTGGCCGAGAGTGTAGAGCACGGGATGTTCCCCTATCACTGTTTCCCTGCGGGGAGTCAGCAAGAGCCTCTTAACTAACTGCACTGTCTGCAGCTCCCATTGTTGCTTCTGCAGCTGATTCTCCGCAAAATCAGATCACATGACTTTCTGGCTCGAAACCCTTGAATGGTCTCAAATCCCACTTAGAACAAAATCGCAAATCCTTCCCACAGCCAATGAAGTCCTTCTGTGCTCTAGCTCCCTATCAGTCTTCTACCTCAGATCCTCAAAGTAACCCCTGCTCACTCTACTCAGCCCCACTGGACTTCTTCCTGTGCTAGAAAGTTCAATGCAAGTTCCAGCCTCAGGGCCTTTATACCGTCTGATTCCTCTGCTGAGAAGGCCTTTCCCACAGGTGGCCCCGTGGCTCAATTCCACTTTTCATTCAGATCTCAGATCAAATGTGACCTCCTCAGAGAGGTCTTGTCTAGCAACCCTTCCCAACATAGCAAGCTCCTTCCCTTATCTTCGTCTGATAGTCTTAAAGACAGTAATGCCATTTGCTCTTGTAATTATGATCCCAAGAACTTACCAACAAAAAAGTGTTAGGGCGACAGACAAGAGCTTAACCACTATAAATTACTTTTGGTAAACTGGAAGAAAGAAAAAGGAAAAATTATGCCAAAGCTACATGCCCACCAAATAGAGCTTTGTTTAAATAAATTGTGTTTCAACGGTATGATTTACTATTATACAGGCATTAAAAGTTACGATTTCAACTAGCGAAAACACAGAAAATGCTCATAATACATGAAAGTCAAAATGCAAGATTGCATGATTCATGTTATAAACTTATAAAACAAATATATATATGTGTGTGTGTGTGTGTGTGCTTTAAAAAATGATCTGAACAATAAATGTTCACAGAGGTTTTAAGAGAGGACTAGGGTAACTTATTTTCTTCCTACTGGTTAACTGTGGAGCCTTCAAGGAAAAAGATATTTAGTAATCTGAAAAATATCACTTTATCTTAAAAATCCCTCTTCTACTCATCATGTAGCACAATAGTTTTCAATTTTATATTTTCCTATAAAATGTTTCTTCAAATTCGTTTATCTGAAGCCCAAAATGAAAAACAGATTAACAAGGAAAATCTTATGACTGATGCAGAAGTGAAGTTATCAGAGCCAGGGAAGTGAGGGGCCCTAAGCTGCATAAGATTGGCCATAGCCAAGATGAAGTCTGTATAATTCCAGGGGGGGTCATTCACATCTTTCCCCTTTTATGTCAAGCATACCCTGCAGAGATGTCCAGGGCACGACCTGTGCCATCATGTAAGTTGTCCCTGCCATCCAATCTATCCCCCTGTACACCCACATGCACTATGGACACATACAATGGTCTGCTGCTGGGTCTCAGGTCATAGTTCAAAAAACAGTGATATGGGATGAGTGAGGTGTCACAGATATACACACATTCTGGTACACTTGGTGTTTATGGTGTCATGACTGAGGTCCATTACCCAATTACATATATAAACAATCAACACATTAGTAGATTCCTATCTTAATAGTTTACCCATTTAACTGAGGGCAGGATCTTTATGAGGAAATCAGTTTGGTATTTTCTGGGCTTATAAAAGTGACAAATTGCTCTTGGATTTATGCTTTTGTCACTTAGAGAAATTTTAAAACATTTTTGATGAGCTAAGTGCTCCAAATGTAGAATAGTTTAATAAATAAGATGTTCAAAAAAGCATTCCCTGCACCAGCCTTTGCAAACTCAAATGGTCCTGGGGGCCAGGGAGGTCACATAAATTACTGCAGCGGCCCTGGGTGTGAGACATCCATGTGCATTGCTTGCATATTAAAGACAAGGGACTGTTCTTCATTTCCACAAAGGAATGAGTTCACTCTCATTTTTCTTAAAAAATACTACTGCTTTCTTCTGTTTTCCCACTTTCGATAGAATCATGAGTATTTTTAATGATAGTGCCATAAAAAATGAGCTCATTGTTGGTTAAATATCTCTTTTGCTTTTAATGTGTCACAGTGGTCTTCAAATTTAGCCTCGGCATCAGTATTTACGAGGAAGTGGTGGCAACTGTGACAAAATGAAGACCACGGGACCTGTGCAAACGTGCAGACACAAGTCAGGTTCAGGCTGCTATTGCCAGTGTAACTGGATCTTCCATCTTTCATGAGAAGTCATGGATGTGT